CCTTGTGTACCAAAAGAGGTATATACAGTTCCTCCCTCTTTATCTTCATCCTGCAAAAATGAGCAGGAGTTCAAAACACAGCTGCTAGTGAAGCAAAAAGGAAAATAGGACTGGGGGAGAAACCCATTTCATTTGTTTAGCAGTTCCGACCCAAGTTACCATTTGGGTATTTTATTCTACAATATAACCCACTGTTACTTTGCCCAATACATCTGAGTTTGCTTTCTTCTTCTTTTCTTTCTTTTTTAACTGTTAATATACATTGAAACATAACACCTTATTTATGTGCCAGATCATTACTTCAGTTAGCACTGAGGTCTCCCATCCACCTTCTGTTCACAAGAGCACAGACAGTAAGCACACTCAGTAGGGTTATTTCTGAATTTCTGTGAACCTTTTTTTTTTTTTGGCCTGCTTAACATAGCAGCAATTTTGCTGCAGTTCTTGTAGCCTGTGTGTGAATCCACTTTCACTTGAGGTTATTGCACTTCTAGAGGTCCTTAAGATCTTATCTTTAAATTTGCCTTCAGTTATCTGTATTATCTGGGTTTTATCACATTTATATTAGTTTTACTCTGTTTTGTATGCAATCCTGACTCTCTATTACGCAAAGGAAACTAAAAATACCGTGACATTATTTACTTTTTGGGGATGTAAAGGAACCTTCCACTAGGTGAGAATGGAAGGATCAGGTTTGGCACCTGTTACATACCCTTGTCCAGTCAGTTTCAAGAACATAACAGAACCATCTGGCCCTCAGTTCTTTCATAACACAAACACACTTATTTTTTTCTAGTTATGGCCAAAAGAATACAAATGTTTGCAGATGCCAACAGATCTTGCTTGGTAACTTGAGTAATTGGATAAATCCAAATGTGCCCCCATGTTGTGACTGTGCTACATAGCTCTGAGTTCAAAAGAAAGAAAACTAGAAATAGTGGTGGATGGAACATGGCATGAAATATAAGACTTAGCTACATAAACGTGTACAGCCAATCACTCGGGGACTTTGTCCTACCCCTTTACTGTAATTCTTTGAGGGCTGTCAATGCCTAACTTCAGTCTATCTCAACCTTGCCAACTTTAAGACAGAATGCTGGCTGCGGAATTCTAGGAGTTGATGTCCACCTGTCTTAAAGTTACCAACGCTGAGAAGCACTGGCCTACAGAATTCCCACTGGAAACCACCAGTGAGTGAAAACCCTCTATAGGGATAAGTATAAAAAGGTAGAGGTTTCTTGTCCTGAAGAGGTACTCCTTCAAATAATGTCTACTTTTCACTCACTTCAGGAAATCTGTCCGTCTCTCTCAAATTTTACATTGATTCTATACAGACATTCAGGATGCCGTACGTATATTACACAGACATTACGCAGCCTGCATATTATAGACATTTGCTACTCACCACTCTCCATTTCTTAGGAAGAGAATGCTTGGTTACTAATTGATAAAGGACAGATATAGGATTTTGGTTTTAGAGAAAAAGCGTTAAACACTTCTCCAACTTAAGGTGGAAAGAGAATTAAAAACATTAAGGATGCTTCACAGAAATACTTATTCGTAAGAATGAGGGCCCTCAAACCCTTCCTTAATTGGGATTAAAGAATCATTTGGGCAGTCTTTTTGACACATGACACTACTGTCATCCTCATTTATCATCTTCAGAAGGAAGCCCAAAGCACTTGTCCTGATAGCTTTCCTACAGATGCCCAATCATTTGTTTCCTTTCTGCTGCCTTTAATAAGCATCATCTCCAATCATTTTCAGTGACTCTCCTCCAGGGCTTGAGATAAAAAGGGGCCTTTTTACCACTGCTCCCTGAAGCCCTCTTAACTGGAATCTTAAGGAACTCAACTTGCTCATTTCTTCAAAACAGGTGAAACACCCATTGCACCTTTTGTTTTGGTAGGCCTTTCCTAAACTGACCAAATTCATTTAGCCACTGAATGGCATCCACTAAGTGGATGCTTCTGTATTGCTTTACTGCCACCTGGATTGGGTGGACTGGCCGCTTTTTCCCCTCTGGGAAACTGCACTTGTGAAAGGACAATCTGCCCCTCTCTAGAACTGTCTTGTGACCCAAGAGAAAGGAAGGAATGAACTCCTATATAGGAAATGAGCTCCACATTTGAAAATGCAGTTAAGCTAAGTGCTTTTTAAAATGGCCAGGCATTGTTTGTGGAAACAGAAAGAACAGTACAATTGCCTTTTGCTCAAAGAAATTCTAGTACTTTTCTCTCTCTTTTCACATCAAGGTACAGATACACACGTACAAATAGGCTTTTTTTGGAGTGGGGGAGGAAGTAGCAAAAGATCTGGCTTTTCCAAGCCACACTATCATATATGTGGAACATTAGGGCATTTACAGATTTAAAAAAAATAGCAATTCTGTCCACTGTAAGAGTAGTTAAAAAGGCTTCTGCTGAAATTATGCCTGGTCATCTGTGCCATGTGTTATTCCTTCACTGGTTATGTTTCACTATAGGGCCGCATTGCTCACAATAGCTAAACTGCATGAATATATTTCTACCTAGGCCTTGGTGGATGGTTGGCTACTCAGAGCCTATGGGAATTGAGTAGTACAGGTAGTCCTTTTTCAGTGACTGTTGGCAATTACAATGGTGATGAAAAAAGTAACTTTACAACTAATCCTTGTATTTATTACCTTTGCAGGTTTGTAAAGGAAAGTTGAAATATGACCGTCAGTAAATAAGCAAACAAGCAGAGGAACAGTTTGACTTGGTGATTGCTTCGCTTAACGACCAAGTTGTCAATGCCAGATGGGGTTGCTAAACAAGGACAACTTGTATGGAAGCCTCAATCAATCAATCCATGTGTAAATAGTGAAACCGTCAGTAGGGCAGTCTGCAGCATAGATGGAGGTGTGTAAGACAAGGCCTACTAATCTAAACACAGCCTATCATCTACATCTTGTGCCATGTGTTCAGCAACCTCGTGTTTGCCTCTCTCAGACAGATAGAAGGACTTTCTTTCATGCCTCTGGTGGGTTCTTCTTTATAACTAGAACTTGCATGAACTCGGATGGGCCACACATCATGGGAATGCATGAACAAACCTTCTATCACAATCATTCATGCATGCTACATTCCTGGACCATTTGGGATACTCATTTTCTACTACATGTGTTATTTCTGGTTAGGCACCATATTTTTAAAAGCCATAAAACTAATAGAAAACATATTGGAAATAAAAAAAAAGATCAGCAATCAGAAAAACTGAATAGTCATGAAAGTGTGCTGCAGAAGTAACAAAATCTTATGGCTCTTCAAAGACTCACTTACTTTGCTTTATTTATTATGGCATGAGCTTTTGCAGGTTGGTGTCTAGCTTATTAAACACATTTAATAAGTTAAGAGTCCAACAACATTCCAGAATAATATTTAATAAATATTCTAAAAAGTTAGAATAATATTCCAAGAATCTGATGAAATGGGGTCTGATCCAAAGCTCATTTCATAGCAAACCCGCTAGTGTCACAAGAAAAGCTATGCCAGTTTTACAAACTTAAGAAGTAATGGTCCATATCTCTAAAGACTATTACTGCATAGAATAGTAGGAACAAGTTTTAAATATACACATAAATGCACACATATAAGCACACTTGCATGCCAAGAAAAAGAGAAAAAATAAACAAAATTAGCAACTCCCCCATGCTGAAATTCAGTGTCAAAATGCACTTCTTGATAAACAGATATTCTTGTCATTTAATGGTCCCTTAATCATGCTGCCATAGTTCCTGAGATACTTGATGTATATTCTTACAAGCCTCACAAGCCTCCTATGTTCATATCCACAATTTCTGCCTGAGCCACCTGAACAGAACATTGCAGGGTCTCAGAAACTTATATTTTTCTTGCCTAACCTAGGCTGAAGGGGGTAGAATGGGGTCAATGAAGTAGCCTTTGATGAAATGTAATTGAAATCAACATACAGGACAGCAGGAATTGGGGAAGACTGAGCTGTGACAGGGGTTAGGTATAAAAATGTTGTGATCATGGAGAAAATTAAATCCAGAATTCCCTTATGCTGGCAAAAAGCCTCCTCTGTTCATCAAGCTGGCATCAGAGCCATAGCAGAGCCCTGCCTCTTTAGTTCTAGCTATTGTTATGGCCTGCCTTGAAAGAATAAACAACAGCTTCTCTTTATGTTGCCTTTTCCTTTTGGAAGGTCCATGGATTAGGCCAAGAAAACAGGAGCAAGAAAATAGACAGCAATGGTGAAAAAATAGGAAAGAAGACAACTTTTTGAAAATATCCCATCCAGGGCTCCCCTAAATATGGACTGGTTGAGGTCCCTACCCAAAGCTGTCATGGAACTCCAGAATCCCGGCGGCCATGGAATTCTGGAATCCTGACTTGGGGATCAGAACTGCTTGCCGGGAATGAGGAAGATTCCCAGAAAAGCCAAGCTTTTCAGTGCTGTAAGTCTCCTTCCCACCTAGGGCTGCAGGTTGTGAATGGTGGAAATAGTAGATCAACACATCTCCTCTGCAAGAAGGCCCTTTCCCCTCCACCCCAGCCCTGCCTCAAAAACCTTCTAAGGCAGTGGTTCTCAACCTTTTTAATGCCGCGACCCCCAACTGGTCGTAAGTCGAGGACTACTCAACTGGTGCAGCACCGTTTGCAGAATGGGACTTTTGGCGGGCTCAGCAGGGCAGAGACAGCCTGGACAATTCCTATTGGCTTTTGAAAGCCAATAGAATTAGACTCTATTCAAGAGAGTCTATTCTATTGGCTTTCAAAAGCCAATAGAATAAAAGGGAGTAGCACAGCTAAGGAAAAGAGGGGAAAAAATGGCAGACTGCGTTGTTTGGCAACCCCCGTGAAATGGTCGTTTGACCCCAAATGGGGTCCCGACCCACAGGTTGAGAACCACTGTTCTAAGGGATGCTGGATTTGTGGATCAGGTGGCATGTCAAGATATGACAATGGCTTTGAGTGAGGACGTGGGTGGGTGGGTGGGTATTCTCAGTGGCTTACCTGCAGCCTGTGTGCCTGGCAGGGGAAGCTAGTTGCGAGTGGAGAAGCGATTGAGCAGAGCAGCAGTACTGGTGCAGAGTGGGACACGTGGACGACCTACAGAAGGCAGCAGAGACGGAGCAACAGAGAGAGACAGGAAAAGAGAGAAAAATAAGAGGGGTGGATGGAAGGAGGGGAAATAAAGGGAGGAGTTGATGTATATGAAGATAGATGAAAGGTACATGCCGAAACGGAGAGGAAGAAAGAAGGGGAAGGAAAAGAGAAGAAAAAACCACAGTCAAGAAAAAGGACAGCACTGAACAAACAGAAAAAAACATAGCAACGCCCCCAAGCCAAACAAAGAGACTCAGCCACACACTGGGCCAGGGAAGGGAGGAAGAGAGGAAGAAAGGAAGAGAAAAAGAGAGAAAACAGACAGGGAGTTCCCAGGGATAAGGATGTGAGACCAAAAAAGCCACAGGAGCTAGGAACAGAAAGGAGGTACAAGGGCAGCCTAGACCAGCACAGAATCATGAGCGGCCTAATCCGAGGGAGAAAAAAAGCATTAGAAGTCAAGGACATGAAGAGGCATAACAGTGAGCTACTGGCTGAGGGACAGCCTAAAATATGGACCACTTTCAATAAGGGAGGTTGGATATCCTTTTTTTAAATTAAAAAAAAACAGAATATGGGGGGGGGACCTTGAATGACAAGGTGACCTAGAGATCCTCTGTCAGCCTGCTACACAAATTGACCGAGAAGTTAGGAAAAAACAGCATAGTCCGCAACAGAGGGAATCCTCTGGACCCTCCTTGTGATTCTGCCTTCCAGCTCAATGACTATTTGACCCACAATGGCCTCCCTCCTTCCCAGAAAGGTACAGGATGCTTCTTATTGTGAAGACTCAAGATGGGGACACGGACTGAGGCATCCAATGGAAGGGAAAAAGGAAAGCGTGTATGTGCAGCTAAAGACTCAGGTTTTACTCTCATGGCTATACAAGGTTAAAAGAAAGGGCCTCCTGAAAAGAAAGCCAAAGAAGAGGGAAACCAGCAACTTTTGGACTAACCCCAAACAATACCACACCCCTGAAAGTCAAGAGAAATACACTGGGGAGGATTGCAGTCTAGCCCCACCCAGGCCCCAGAAAGAGAGAGAATGAGGAAGACCACACCACAAAAATCCTAGGATTTTCTCAGCCACGTACTATGAGATAACCAGCATGGGGAAAGGAAAAAACAATGACTTAGGACCATAAATTTGCAAATCCTCGACCCACCCACAAATAAGGAAACCAATTTGGAAGAGGGGGGAGCGGAGGAGCCAAAAAAAGAGACTAAGGTAAGCCCCATCAAAGGCTCTGCCGCCAAAGACACAGAAAGCTTCTTCTGCTGTACTTAGCACCGGGACTTCATCAGGGCTCAGGTCCAGAACCTATTTTTAAACATAAAACTTGAGTGGGTGTGTATATCCACCTATTCATTAAGATCAAGTGCTGGTTTTTCAATCTCACTCCACTTGCAGTCCCTGCTGCCAAATAAACAAGCAAACAAATCCATCTTAAAGTGGGTGAGATGGGGAGGAGGTAAATTCCAGGTGGGAATGGCACTCATTTGCTAGGGATCTCATTCAATTATGGAACACAGAATGAAAAGGGCGGCAAATAGCAAAAGCAGGGACAGGAGAGATTCCATGCCCGGCACAGCTTTATTTCCTTCCATATAAGGACTGACTTGTATTCATTGCGGTGAGGAGATCTCATTTGGAACACTCAAGGCTACCCCACCCTCAGCGTTGTTAAGTGTATAGGCCCCTGCCTTCCCCTATCGTAAATATTGCACCAGGCAAAAAGGGGGGGGGGGAAGTGCCATTGCCATGTGCAGAATGCCTTTGCTTCACTACCAAGCAGTGCTCTTTTTGAAAAAAAAAAAAAAAAAAGATGCCGGAACTTACACATATCATACAACTCTCCTTGCTGACCCTACAAGGTTCACATCCAAAAAAGGTGCCGGAACTCCGTTCTGGGCATTCTATGACAAAAAAAAGCCCTGCTACCAAGTAAACCTTAACAGTTCTGGGTACCTTCTATAACAGGAGGCAAAGCTAGCAGGTGGGATGTGTGCACCAAACCCCTTGCTTTTAATTAAAGGACATACACTGGAAAAGTACTACTTTTCCAGATGAGTTTAAGGCTGCCATCAGGCTACAAGTCCCATTATTTCTGATCATTAACCAGTGTGTGTGTAAAAAATTCCCTTCTCACCCCCTATGGCAGTGATGGTGAACCTTTTAGAGACCGAGTGCCCAAAAACTGGCTCTGCCCCTGCTCCATCCCCTGCCCCGCCCCCACTCCACCCCCTGCCCCGCCCCCACTCCATCCCACCCTGCCTGCCCAAAGGCCACTCACCGCCTCCAGGGCCCGCCACAGATTGCCCAGGCAGCCCAGCAGCACCATGACGGCCACGCCCTCTGCCCACCCCCCGCAACATGCATTGGCACATGAGGGCAGAGTCTTGTCTACGCTGCCTGGCTGCCATGTCCTTGGCTGCAGTGCTCCGTGTGGGCCACATTCAGGGGCGACTCTCCTCCAAGGAGGCTGCTGGTGAGTAGGGGGTCACGGGTGGAGGCAAGGCTGGGGCAACGGCACGTGTGCCCACAGAGAGGGCTCTGAGTGCCACCTCTGGCACCCGTGCCATAGGTTCAGCACCACTGCCATACACTATACAGATGTTCCTGTATTCAAAGCCAGCTACTTGATTGTGTTGTTCAGTGTATGCCATTCCTGCTTGCCTGTTACACCCTGTCATTATGTGTTGAACTGTCTCAGAGGCCTCTCTGCATAGTCTGCACTTTGATCCTATATAAATGTGGTAAAGCCCTGTTTCTATGGATGTGGTGCTTAGCACCCATTCTTGTGCTGCTATGATCAGTGCTTGATCATTATCTTAGTCCCTAATTCTCATTTCCAAGAGCAACTGAGCAAATGCTACTAGTTGAAGCAGGATCTCCAAAACATGGATTTTTATATCATAGCCCTTTGTATGTGACCAAAATATAGGAGCACCCTAGATTCCGGTTGATTCTCTCCCCCCCCCCCCAGTTCAACCCACTTTTTGCTACACTCTGTTGTTACTCAAAATATTCTCAAATGGCTCTCTCGCAATTTCTTTTTCCTTCTGACCTCAGACTGCTCTTCCTTTCTACTGCAGGCTCTGCGGACTACAGAGCTGTAAACATGTTCAGCTTCCTTATTACAACAATGTGCACATATTACTGAATTCACTAATGTGATTTGCTGATGCAATTCATAAAGTGCAGCATGAGACGGTAGGAATGGAGAAACAATTACTCGGACAGCTCAGTATGAAAATACAGCTCTTAAAAAGATAAAAAGTGAGATCAAGATATATTTCAATCACACCATTGGAGCCATAGTGTCTCTTGAAAGATATGACCTGAAACCTAAGAATAATAGGATCACTGAAAAAGCCTTCGTTTCCAATATTTAGGCTCCTTCCCCGTATCGATTTGCCATATTTTGCTCTAACAAGCTTGGGTCATTCAGTAAATCTGACATTTCTTTCAATCTCACATTCCTCTAGTCTATTTCCTCCCCTCCCAGCTTTTCCCCCACAAAGGAAACATTCCTTGCAGGCACAGAGAAAAAGAAACTGACTGGCGACTTCCTGCAGCAATGCTTCACCTTTCCTCCCACCAGGCCTAGATGACAGCTAACAACTTGCACCTCTGCCTTTGAATCTCTGTAATTCCTTTAGGCATTCCTCAAAAGATTAGCAAACAAGAAAGCAAGTTTCTGACTAGTTCAGCATTAACTACTCCATGTTGGCTGAGTACATCCAGTCATTTAAGGGAAAATACACCTCCCCAGCTGGATCTGACCAAAATCCCTCCCTAACATAAGACTCAGCCTTCAGCAGGCGCCAGCAAACACTCATCAGCAGTTGGCCACTGCTTTACCAATGACTCCTCCCCACCCCTTCCTTTTGACAGTGGCGCTTCCTGATTGGCAACACTGTACTCTGTAACATTGCCCTTGATCGATCCGCAGCTGCCTTCAAGTTCCTTATATCCCACAACTACTGCATCCATCCCTACCAGGAGAAATAGTAAGGATTCACTCACTCCATAACCCTTCTGTGCTCTCCTCCTGTACTTCTTGGTACGTATCTTCTTCCTGCAAACGTCTTCCTTCTCACACTTGGCCCACCCACTTCTTCAGAGCAAGGGGGGGATCCAAGGGGGATCCAAGGAGCCTAGACAAGTGGCTCAGGTCATCCCTCTTTGGAGGATGCAAGGCACAGAAACACGCAGGGTGTCACTCTCTTCTCTTCTCTCCCACCCCATCAGCTGATCACTAGTTTAGACAGAAGTAGAGGGCTGGGACAAAAGGACCAGGCAGGGAGTACCTCTGAATTAACATGTTAAATGCTGGCTTTTTTGTTCCTAAATGTTTTGAGACAAGTTATGAACCTGAGGAGAGGAAGGATTCTTTCTAGCGTGACAAGGAAGACTAGCATCTTGCTATTTATCTTTAAATAACTTTAAAATAACATTAAATGATTTGAGAAAATGGCTCTTCAGCATATGCACAGCAATGTGAATAGAAGGCACAGAAAAACTCATAAAACGCAAAAGCCAGTGGAAAATAAGTACCAATTAAATAAAAAGGAGGAAAAGAAAGAAAAGAAAGCCCCACAGAAAGAGAAATATGGGCACGGAAACTAGTTCCACCATTCCCCACCCAAAGTAGAATGAAGCCTAATGAAATATAATGCATCCTTCATAAATTAAATAATCCAAAATCTCAGTACTTTCCCCAGCCTATAGCTATTCTTCTTACAGATATTTAGCACATGAAAAGAAAGACACTTAAATGACCATATGCATATGGATATGCTTACCATTACCATTTCTACTTCAATAACAAATTTGGCCATTTCTGAGACAGTGTAAGATCTACAAACGCAACTGAATCTAGATATTTCCCACTCCAAAACCTAGAATCATCAATTGATTTTTAAGAAAGTGGTCTGCAGAAATTAGCAGGTAATTTCCTATTTGTTTGTTTATTTCCCACCTTTTTATTATTTCATCAAATAACTTAAGGCAACCAACAGATCTAATACTTTTTCCTCCTACTGTTTTCCCCACAACAGCAACCCTGTGAGATAAATTGGGCTCAAAGAGTATGACTGGCTCAACGTCACCCAGCTGGCTTTCATGACTAAGGTATGACTGGAACTCAGAATCTCCAGAGTTCTAGATTGGTGTCTTAAATGGCAGTGAATAAAATGATTGTCAAATTTAGCAATTTAGAAGGTACCAGATCCAAGAGAAGTTAAAACATTGATAATTCTTCTCCCTCTCCTTAAGGAGACTTACAATTGTTCAAGAATTCCTAAAAATTCAAGTTTTTCTGGTCATGTATCCTATAATTTAGTGGGTCTTTACATACAAAAAACAAGCTACCATTCAACTGAGCAAAGAAATACAGAAATTTCTAACTCTTGCTGCCACCTATTGCTTTTCCAGATTTTTGGCAGCCCAGACATACCAACTGTAGGACAGGTTCTGCCTTCTAGTCAACGCAGGACACCCATCCCCAGTCCAATGCCATCTGTGAAGGCCTACAAATAACGGGATTGTCTGAAGATTAGTAGGTTGGGAAAGGCTGCTACAGTTGTTACTGGGCTCTAGAGAAAGCAGGTGGGCTATAAAGTAGTTTCCAATGTGTATTAGCTCAAATGCTAGTTTAATGGATAATAAAACATACTTGCAAATGCTGCAATTTTCTCATACTGTGTCAACTTGCAAAGGTGGTTTCTGGTTTGCAAGAAAAAGGAAATGCTTTGAGAATCATTTTTCAAATCCCTTCGACAGTCTGTAACAGATCACACCCACCATGAACCCAAGCATGAAATGAACCCACTGAAGGTTTTTCTTCATTAGAGGCTATTTGAGGATAGAGGGAGAAGGGAAATGAAGATCCTCTTGGAAGTTCATATTTGTGAATTGCAATAGGAACGGATCAATAGATCAGAATCTAGTTATTACTGCTGGTTGCTTTTTCCTGGAGGTTATAATAATGCTCACAGAATGTTCCCTTCTCCACAATCACTAGCATATTTGTGAAATAAAGGGAAAAGAGGGGACCCTCTGAATTGGTCGAACACTGATTTTTGTCATTCAATGCAACTTGCCCATTAGGACTTGGATGTTGGGTGAGAGCCTTTCATCTCTACCCTTTCCCAGTTGGATATCCCGTAAATGGATCAGGAGTACAATTTCTACCACTCCCCAGCACGTCTGAAACTTCAGGGGACTTCTGGTAGTCCAACCCTATCTGGAAACATTAGATGGGGGAAATGTTTTTGTAAATCTAGCTAGCCCAAACAACAGATAAAACAAGAACACGATGCCAGAATTTTAAGAAGGCGGTGGTGTCAAGCTCTTTTACAGCACAGGCATCCTAAAACAAATCTGCAAATTAAATTGATTCGAGTTAGTTTGTGTCCCTTGAAAAAAGTCCTTCTTTTGAGGAGTGTTTTCCAGAGGGCCGCTTTCATTGTACAGAATACCCCAACACTGAGATGCTTTGAACCCCCATTTCCCCGAATTTCTTTTGCATCCTTAATGTAAACCATGAGAACCTTCAGCCAAATATTAAGAGCAAAGTTGAAAGGCAGGGTCCATCTTTTGCAGACAAGGTGCTTAGGGCGCAATTCTTTTTAGGACAGTGACATTGCTCACACTTGAAGATATTCATCTCCATTGCTGTTCCGTGGTACTGAATAAATCTCACATTCAGACGTAGTAAAACTGAAGCTCTTACTGTTTTCTTTCCACAATTCTTCCTCTCTCAAGTAATAATAAAAAAAGGACTCAGCTAACCTCCCTTTATTACAGCTGATAATCCTGGTTTCCTAGCTACAATACAAAATAAAGCTTTTTCCCCAAGGGAAGTCAAAGACAAATGCAAACTCCTGGCTACAAAACAGCCACAAAAGCTCTTCATGTAAAGTATCCAGACCAGCTTGGTTCCAGATATTCCAACAAACTGAGCCAGACCTGGTTTGCTTGGAAGTAGTCCTACTGTGTGAAGGAGGATCAGCTTGCACTCTTTGGTTTATGAAAGTTGTAGTCCCTCTGGACAGGATGGAAGAGACACTCTGGTTACAAGAACCCCATCGGCAGCAGTTCCAGCCTCTTGTCTAATTGTCTAGAACAGAGGTAGGCAACCTTGGCTCTTTTATGACACGTGGACTTCAACTCCCAGAATTCCTGAGCCAGCATGGCTGGCTGGCTCAGGAATTCTGGGAGTTGAAGTCCACGTGTCATAAAAGAGCCAAGGTTGCCTTCCCCTGGTCTAGACGATAAAGGTTGATCTGCCTTTAAAAGGCTGCTTAGAAAAAGTTTAAAAACCAATTTGTTGTAATAACAATAGCAATAGCACTAGATTTATATATCGCTTTATAGCCCTCTCTAAGCAGTTTACAAAGTCAGCATGTGGTCCCCAACAATCTGGGTCTTCATTTTACTGACCTCAGAAGGATGGAAGGCTGAGTCAATAACAGTATAATATAATATGAATATTTTTTGCTTTATGTCAGATGCTATTTTTAGTATGAATAATCCTCAGTATTCAGATTTACTCTATCAAAGTCTAAGTCATTTATTGCAGATTTCTGGGTCTTTTTTCCTACACCGTTTTCTTCCAGGAGTTCAATAAATATGTCTTTCATACCCTTTTAGTTCGGGGATGGATTCCAAAGCTTGTGCAACAGTTATGCTGATTTCTTATATATTTGTATCTGAACTGTATATGTGTGTGTTGTTTATATAGTTTTATGTTTTAACGATATTTTTTATGTTGTTAACCGCCCAGAGTTATGATTTTGAGACAGGCAGGTGTATAAATTGAATAAATGAATGGGGGGAAATGAATAATCTTATATTAACTCTCATACTTGGATGACATCAGAAATGAAAGTTAAGGACGAGAATTTCACTGCAGAATTTGGGTAATAGCTGCAGTTAAGGCATTCCATCTTAATTACAGTGTAAACACAGCCAACAAGAAGCACTCAGTTGCCTCTCCCTCTTGTATAATTCTTCAGTCTATCCTTCTCACTTGTGACCAATGAAGAGTCACAACTTGGCAGTTCTAGCAATTTGCTTTTCATATTTCCCAGGTACTGCTGCCCTCTGGTGACAGAGCAACATTACTGCTTAGAAAAAGGCAGGAGAAATAAATCTAATTTTGTAAAATTAACTACCAGGAGGGAGAAAAATAAAATCAGATCTAATATTCAGGCAGAAGGTGCTAGTGTAGTTTTGATGCATTTCTGCAGCTTTGTAGAAATATAATTAGCTGCCCAAAGTTGGCTGGAGCTGGGCAGCATTCAAAGTGAATAATAATAACAATGTGTGCATGCATTTTTCCTTCTTCTCCACATGCAAAATTGATTATCTTCACAAAGTAATTACAATAAATATGCATCTAAAACAAGTTCACATTTGTATAAAGTAAATCATACTACTCATGTATCTGTTAGCTCTTAAAATATTTTCATATAACCAAATGGCTACAACCAGCTACGTAATATCGTTCTCCTTCTGGAAGCTTCTTCAGGATATCCTTCCTATGATTTGTCATAGATACAGTTTGTCACAGTTACCGTTACAAGACATTCTTTACAAGCAGACCATACTAGTTAAATAACTGCAGTGGGAAGAGTATGTGCAAAGTTGAAAAATCAGGAAGATACCTAATTAATGTTGCTTGATAAGTAAATTGCCAAGATGAAAATTAAACTAGGGTAGCGTTGGCTTACAGTGCAATGTATTATGCATAAAATGGAACCTATTTGCCTCTTAAATTATTCCCATCCTTCAAATAATTTTTTCTCTGACCTAGAAGGATTGAACCACACTTATATTTTGTTTAGCATGCTTCTTGGCACTGATGAGCATTAAAACAGCTAAATTACAGCAAGTATCTTTGACAAGGAGAGATGGATAAGTTTACCCTGTGGTCATTTATTTGTGTGCACAGGCAGAACACTAGTGGAGAAAAAGATTTTGCATTAAGTCAAGGTTAAGTTAATAATGGCTTACTGAATAAGCTACAGTGGCTGAATTTACACATAATGCTAAGTCACAGATAGAGTAATCTCTCTCTCTCTCTCTCTCTCTCTCTCACACACACACACACACACACACACACACACATCTCTCTCACACTCTCTCTCTAGGCACTCATTCAGCCCAACCCACCACACAGAATTGTTGTTGCAGAGAACATAGGAGGTAAGAGTATTAGGTATGTTCATTGTATTGAATTACAAATACTAAAAAAATGTGAAATTAAAAATCTAATAATATGAAAACTGATCTTTCTGTAGGATCTTAGGAATCTCAACTCAGAAGTAAGACTCATATTCAGCAAAACCTAGTCGAGTTCAAGTTCATTTAAATCAATACATTTCAGTTGCCTGATTCTGATTCTATATTTGCACTACACGCCTGACCATATTTATTTTTTTTGAAGAAACCATAACTAACAATACATAGAAGAGCAGGCAGAGCAGGGAGCGGAGTTAAGCATGTCATCACCGTAGAATCATTACATTGTTAAAAAGATCAAAATCCAACTCCTCTTGAATTCCATTGACCTTTATCTGGCACCAATTTAGTATTGAACTTTAGTTGAATAGAGTCTTATGTATAGGAATAAATCCTTGAACTGCAACTTAATGTAAGGTCTTGATCCTTTGCGCCTAATACAAGATTTGCATAATATGCTAAACCAGTGATGGTGAACCCATGACACGCATGTCAAAGGTTTTGGGTGACACATCAGCATTCACCAATACCCAACAACTATTCTCAAAAGTACAACTTTTTCTTGCACGGCTTTTGGAGGCTGTAAAGGCCATGTGAGAATAGGATGTATTCTCATGCAGCTTCCAGACCCTCCAGAAATCACACAAAAGGGACACTCTTTCACAGCCTCTGGAGCCTCTAAAAATTGTGTGAGAATACAGTGTGTTTTTGCACTTTTTGAAGTTTCTAGAAGCTACAGAAGAGCATTCTCCTAAGCTGCTTCAAGAACGAAGACCTTGGGTGAGCTGGACCTACCTCAGGTAGATCGCAGAGCATTGTCAACAATAAAAAAAATATATCGCCTCAAGGTAAGAGGCACACAGCAGAACCTGGGAATTACACACCATTGGACTGTTTTTTAAAAAATAAATGAATATCTAAAGAATTGATTCTCTTTTGTTTGGGAGGAGGTGTATGACACACCAACAGATTCCAGGTAAACATTTTCTAAATGTTGGGCATGCCATCACTGTTCTAAGCCAAAAACATGACACAACTGGTTTAATGTATGGTACTATACTAAGCCAGAATAACCTTAGGGCTTAATATATGTACACATTGTGATCTCTGATTTCTGCCTTAGAGTATGAAATTTGTCTGTGTTTGTAGGAACCCATATTCCTTATTTTCCATTATCATTTTTCCTTCCTTCTCTCTTACACATACACAATTACACCATAGATCCAGACACAATACATTGCATTTCTCAGATATGCTGCATTTTTATTTGTTCGTGCAAATCTTTCAGGGATGCATTATTAACATAAGAATGTTGACGCAGATTTGTTATAATTACTATAAGACTCACTATAATTATATTTGTGTCTTCCCTTCCTAATTTTAGCCTCACAACAATCCTTTGAAGTAGGTTAAATTGAGAAGCCTTGTATTTAATGGTACTCTAAACCAGGAATGAAGAAAGTAATTTTGTTCCAAAGAAAAGGACATGCTATCTTACATTTGCATCTCAAGATGTGTGGTGGTATAAAACTATGTAATTTTAAAAAGTGTGAAATGTTAAATACTGGATTTAATTTTGTAGTGTTATTTTTTTAAAACGATGCCCCTGTCTCAGAGTACACTTAGGGTTATAAGTAGAGCTACTTACATCTGCTATTACTTTGATGCTGTTGCTCCTTTTAATAATGGTATTTTAGACAGCTTCAGCAGTTGCTTCATCTCATTTTATTGTAGCACTTTAATGACTGAAATCATCTTTTCTTGCAATGCAACTATTAAAAACATAGGAGTTTTCTTCAGGATAGCAAGCAGAAAATTCCACGAGAATCACTGCAGGAGAGAATTAACTGGCACAGTCTCTTGTCGCTAGTGAGATTTTACAACAGAGTTACAGGTGATGATGTGTGAAAACCAGGAGAGGCATATGGCTGGGCTCACTGAGCACCACAGGCCATTAGATTTGCCCTCTATTATTTTGGAGATGAGCCTAGATGCTCTTTTTAGAAGACAGAGATGGAATGGCTTACACAGGAAGGAAAAGTAGTCTCTATTAAAAAACACTGGAGAAGAAGTTGAAGTTCTTATGTGATTTCAGATGTCTGGAAAGGAAGACCAAGTCTTCCCCAAATGTTGCAATGACTACATTTATTGATTAATAGTTAAATATCTCTGGACAGGTCGAACACTAAACACTTATCTTTCAAAGCTTTTGTTTTCCTACTATAACAGTGATTTCAGTATTCCTGCTTTAAACTATAATATCAGATATATCTGCTACAGTAAGTGATATACTAGATGCAAGAATATTGGAAATACACTTGTGGGCCCAGTTAGAAAGTTGTTACTTGGCACCTTTCCTGCCATTTTGAAACAAGGATTATTACAAATTTCCCATGAGAACTAAGGCCAAATTTGAATTTCTCACCCAATAATGCCAAAATACATCTAATCTTCTTAAGTGCTTAAAATATCATTGTATTATTGCTATAACTGGAACCAAATATTTGCCAGGATTTGAAGCGTGCTGAACCCACTAATTTTTAACACTTAAAAAAATCGGAAGAAAATGGGATAGTTACTCTTAATTACTTGATCATTAATATACTTTTAAAAGTTTTAAAAGGAATATAACTTATCCCCAAACAGCTGAAAGGCAGTATATACTTACTGAGAGTTTCGGTTATGCTGCCTGCTTGGGCTAAATGCTTCAACAGCCTCTGAAACTCCAGTAATTTTGAGTGAATTGGAACAGGTTTTATAGAGGCTAAACTATTATTACCAGCAAATAATATTTTTTACAAAACATTTGGCAGAAGGAGTTTGGAACAGAGCTTTGGAATATTCTATATTACAAAACATTTGTTCTCCTCTTTCTATTAGGTTTAACTACGCAAAAGCATGACAAAGGCGTACTTTATTTAATGCTACACATTTTAACGGCTTCCAGACTGGTTTTTGCTCAAAATTGGAGGAATAAGGGAATTCCAACGGAAGAAGAGATCCTGCTTAAAATTTTATCATGTGCTGAGATGGACAGGCTTACAGTGATTATGAAAGACAAGACAGAACACGAATATTTCGAAATCTGGGGCAAATTTTACCGTTGGTATGAATTAAAGAGAACTGCTCGGACTTCAAGTTAATGGTAGAATTAAAAGATATATATAACTGTACATATAATTGTATATATAATTGTATTGTATAGAAGATGAGGCTTATATAAAGGTTAAGAACAATGTATTAAACTTTTGTACCATGATAGGAACTGATAGGAAAATTCATTCTGGAATGTCATGTTTGTCCATTGTTGTTTTAATTGTATTATGAATAAAAACATTAAAAAAAAACATTTGTTCTCAGGTTTTAAGAAAAAGTAAGCATGTTTCCATGACTAAAAATTAGGCTAACTGAATAACAGCAGCAGCAGCAGCAACAACAACAACAACAACAACAAAGCAACCCCAGTAGATGTTTTTAAAAGGTTGGCTAACATCCTTTCTCTGTTGGGAGATTTAATTCATGTGAACGTATGTATGTACTATGTATGCATATGGTTTGGTTGTGCCCACTGGTGTTTCCTTTTTGGTTAGATATAATCTCTGTGGTGATTAAGATTCTTGGGAAGCAAAGATTTATAGATATTAACATGCTGTTAAATTATATCCCTCAAAATCTGGAATTTGTTCATTTGTGAAGAGCTCTGGATTCATAGTGCCTGCACTGTAGAATATAAGCTGATTGCGTGTTCCTGGAAGAAAAAATACATATTGTACCAGACTAAGAGGTTTGATTTAATAACATTTATCACTTTTCAGCAGCTGAACTGTTGAGGCTGTCAATAGAAAAGAAAGGATGGATGATATGCTTCTGAATGGTCAAGGTTCAATTTTTCATTTAAAACCTGAGCTCTTGGTGATTTACCCAAGGATATAATGATTATTTTTGTATTGTTAAATAGGTTGATAAATCTTTATTTTCTTTTTTTCCTAACTTTAAAAAATTCACAATTTTTAAAATTTATATTACTTAGTGTAATATAATATAGTGTAATGTAATATAGTGTTTTGTGTTGATGAAATTTATAAGTTTACTATCTTTCTGTATTTTCTTTTGTAGTTTCAATAGAAGTTAACCATATAAAATTTTTAAAAAAACAACCAAATGAATGTTTTAAAAGCCTCATCTGTAATTGCCACTGTTACAACTTATTTCTACAGCATTTCAAATCAATTCATGCTCTGCATGGAAGAAAAAGACAAATCGTTACCCACAAATTTCATAATTCAGATAGAGAGGAGTTTAAAAAACAGATATTCTGAGCAATGCCAGGATAGTGATATGTTGTCCTGATATATTGTCCTGATTAGAGGAGGGAGATAATATTTTTTGAGGACACCAATTAGCTGATAAATACCTAATAGTATATACAATATTGCCTTCTCTCCCTATAGCAGGAGTGGGCAATTAATTTTCCCAAGGGGCCCCATGAAAAACTGGGACTGTTGTGAGGGGCCGAACCAATATTGAGAAGATGTGTAGGTAAATAAGTAAAGTAAAAAAAAATAAAATAGCTATCACCTCCAAAATAAAAGCAATGCACTTGTGTTGTATGCATGCTGTATGCTTATTTGCATTTGATTTCTAATTTCCAATTGGCCTCACACGGGCCAGACAGGGACAGCCAAAGGACCAGATGTGGCCCAGGAGTCAAAAAATGTCCAGGTCTGCCCGATACGCTGATTGTATGCATAAAGGGAAAAGCTATTGATGACTTCAACACGAAAAGTTGACTTTGTGTTGATTTAAACAGGAAAACTTGTTTATTTTCTGAAACCTGAAGAACCAGCATAGGATTATTGAAATCTTGCTTTGCCCAAATAGTTATTGTGCCAAAATAAACAACAGGTGAGTAAAGAATCCAAACGAAAAATAGAAAATCAAGCAATGTAGTCTGTATTTACTGAGTATCAATTTGTCTTAGACTTGATAGGCATACTCTGTAATCAAAATGCACAACAGGAAGGCATTTGGAGGCTTGAAAATCCCAAGATTTATATAAAACTTCCTCTAGGTTTTGAAAATGAAAGATGGATTGAGGAAACATTGACAGTATTAGAGGAGGACTAAGCAGACTCATGGGGACCCACGGATTAAATGTTTTGTGAGAGGGACACAGAGAACTGGGAGGAAGGAACAGCAGAAATTGGAAGAAGATATGGCTGGCTGGCCTCAAGTGTGGGACAATTCCATGCTGCAACATTTTACTGAATGGAATAACTCCCACCTGTATAATTTATGAGGCAGTGGGACTTCATAAACACAGCAAGTCGTCTAAGTGGATGCTTTGTTTCCATTCAAACATTCCAAAATGGCTAGCTGATGGTATTGATTTTAGCTCTCCCTTGTTTCCCCGGATCAATTTCGGGTTCCTTCATCTGGAAAAATTTTTGCTGGGCAAACGCCTACCCATAATAGCAACTTTCATTTCACATATAGACCAGGAAAGTGTCTCTCGGCAGTTAAGTCGGTACGTTTTTTTTTTTTCTGTTTTGGATTTCTGGGGTTTGTTTTGTGCAAAACTATTGTAAAATTTAGACCTGCTTTGAATAGAGCTTCTTAACTCAGGCTCAATTAGAATGTATGTTATATAACCGTAACGCATATTATGGAATTCGTGGTTATTTTTGTTCTGGCAAATGGCCAAATTTAGAGCAAACATTTGATTGGTAATACTGCTTGAGTATAAGACTGTTTAATGCTTTTTCCCATTTATGGGTTTAGGATAGCTTTGTTTGCTTTCTTTACATCAGTTTATTCTGCATTTGCTTTTACATATTTCTATGCTTTTAACTTTAAGTTCATGTTTTCATATTTTTGCTCTTTTCCCTTCATTTTTATGTTCTACTCTTTTTAAAAGCTAATTAGTATTAATTGATTCCCATGTGCTTGAAGATTTCTTTGTACAGAATTAATTATCTACAAAGGATTTATAATCTATAGGACCTATGTAGAAAATTGAACTTACTCGCCCTATCCCGTTTAGTGCATCCCCGTTTATGATGACCATATTTGTTTTACTGTCTTGCTCTTTATATAACCCAAATGGCTCTGTGTTGAACAAGAGGCATTAGTAGACCTGTAGAAACCTCAAGGCTTGTCAAAGTAGAAAAATAGTATTTCAATCAAAGAAATCAAAATTTGCTAAAGCAAACTAATAAGAACAGAATATTGAATAGCTAATACAACACAGAACAAAAATCAAGATAACGTCTAATTCCATGGGGATTTGCTGATGAGCTTGTGTACAATTAAATACTGTATTCTGCAGAAAATGGTTTATTTACTGGCTAGTTCACCAACTACATTTATTAGTTTTTCACAAATGATTGAAACATTGTACAACCACTGTAAAGTAACAAATTACAAACCAAAGCCAAACAATATCACAATCAAACCATCTCAATTAAAGAATTTATTTAACACCCTTGCCCCCGCCCTCCCCAGCAACGCTCATGCCTAAAATCTTGTCAGTCTGTCAAAAGTGAGGCAAACCATTGACTTCTTTCCAACTTTCTAAATCCAAAAAGAAGACTAAAAAGAGCATTCCAAAGTGATGGCCCAACATAGCTAACTGACCACCTTCCCCTCCCCAATTCTTATAAACAAGGCTGTGATGAAGTTAACACATTTGACCATATTAACTGGTAAGCTGATATTTATACCAACACACACCACACATCACACGTACAAGTATTTATGCATCTCACAGCCTCTTCTGCTCCCTGTAGCTAGCCTGTGGTCCTTAAGCATCATATTAGATTCAATTTCTAATCTGATTAAACCAATGGGTAATTTCTTGTCCTTCACTTCAGTCAATAAAATATCCTTGGCCTTTCCTGATGTATAAGCTACATGCTCAGAATGAAGAACTGTAACTTTGGGGAGTGGAAAAACAAGAAAACACACTTTATCCAATGAAAAATATCATTAATGGTATCCACTGAATAATTTCTAAGCAGAATTACATGGAAAGGAGACATATGCACATTGACCAAACTTTACCATCTTGAAAGTTACCTAATAAAATCATGCATTGTTCTAGTTTAATCTTCTGTGTGAAAAAATAAATCTTAACATGTCAATTAGGCTAACAATATCTTAAGTACATCCTTCTCATCACATTGTAAGATTTTGCTGTTTTTTTTTAAGAAAAGAAGAAAGCATGTTTCTAACTCCCTTTTAAAAAAAAAAAACACCTTTAGATGCATGAACAGATAGATGCATAAGTCCACAGAATAATGCTGAAGCAAAAAATGTATCCAAGGCTCAAGAAGCAATGGAAAATTGGGCTGTGGTAAGATATCCTTTGAAGTACAGTACAGTTCATTTCTGAGCCTTAAAATTCAGACAGGATGCTGATCAATGGAAAAGTTTCAGAGAAGAGTCGCATGGATGATAAATGTCTAGAAGACAAACCGCATAAGGAAAACTTGGAGGAAACTGGCTGTTTTGCCCAGTAGAAAGGTTAGAGGGGGGTTGGTCGCAAGTTTTGAGGGTTTAGAAGAACATCACGCAGAAGAGAAAGGCTGTTCTCACAGGATCCACTAAGGACAGGATAGGACACAAAGCAACAGCTTAAGTGTGTCCCAACGGATGCTGACTCTTGCGAGCCCGACTGCTATGGCCTTTATTGAATGGCCTTGGGTAAGTCACTCTCTGCCAGTCTCAGTTCCCCATCTGTAAAATGAGAACAGCAATGATCTTGTTGTGAGGGTAAATCCAAAGAAGGTCAAGTGTTCTGCAAATTATATTGTTCTAAGCTGCGTACATAATTACCAGCTCCTAATATTCTTCCCCTTTCCCCCCCCCCATTGTCATCCATTGTGCATTAACCACTAAATGAGCCAAAGGGACTCAGGATAGATGTAGAACTAAGGGGAGAGGAAAATTTGATGAAATAGAAGAGGCTAGTG